GCGCGGCCAGGCCGCCGGGGCACCGCGGAGGGCGCGGCCGGGCCATCAGCAAGCAAGCCAGGCCCAGGCCAGCGGCCAGGCAGGGCAGCGGGAGGTCCTGCAGCAGCAGCCAGGCGAGCGCGGGCAGCCGGGCGCTGTGCCCGTAGGCGTCGTAGAAGAGCGGGAAGGCCCGCGTGGTTCCGGCCGAGAGCAGGAGCAGGTCGAGAAGCGCCAGGCAGGGTGCGCCGGGCGGACAGCGCCAGGGCAGGAGAGCCAGAGCCAGCAGCGCCAGCACGGCTACTAGGCCGAAGAGTGCGCCCACTCCGTACACATGGGCCTCCCAGGCCAGCCCCCAGCGAGCCCGGGCCTCAGCCCAGTCCGCCTCCAGGGTCAAGAAAAAGAGGGGCAGCTGCGCGTCAGGGGGCTGTCTCTCCGGATCAGGTCTCTCCCCAAGGATGCAGGGGTCTGGCCCACACGCTGGCCGCTCAGAAGGGACAGCGAGGCTGGAGAGTGAAGGGTCATCCATTTGAGAGGTGGGGACAGTGGAATCTGTGGACAAAGAACTAGCTGAGGCAGGTGTGCAGAACTCCCCCTATACCTCCCCTTCTGGCAGCATGTATGCCAGTGGAAGGGCACCAGGCCCCACTTGTTAAAAAAGACACCTGGTCTCCTCCCTTTCCCCCTCCCAACCGGACCCTTTCAGCTGTCCCCCTGCCCCCTTCCACTCCCTATATTGCTTGTCATTCAGTGATTTTTCCCAAAAGCTATTTGGTTTTGGTTTTCTAAAGAAGTCAAAGGATTCTAGGACTGGAAGGAACTGAAGATGCCCCTTCTACAATCCCCACAACAGGCAAGCTAAAATCACACCAGCAGAAGTTACTCGTTAAATAAATGACCTCTCTTCTTTGCCAGATGAAGATAATTGAGGTTCCAAGAGGCAAAGGAACCACAACCTGAATCCAGATCTGAGCACAGTCCCCTTTCTTTCTACAGTTTCAACACCTTCTCATAATTATCCCTGTTCTGCACCCCTAGCTCCCAGTCCTGGGTCTGAAGAAGGCTTCCCCTGCCCTTTCCAACTGCTCCCCCTTCTCCTAGCAGCCTCTTCCAGGAAAAATCCCCACTCCCTCCCTCAGAAAGGAGAGAGGGCCATTCCTGTCCCAGCACTTGGAGGAAAACACAACTCTACTCACTGGTCTGCCTGCCTACTACCACTCTCAATCCCTGGCCAGTCCTTGGCTGTGGACCCCTGATAACCACAAAGCCATTAGACTGTTTATAGAGATGCCTCTGGCTCTTAGCCCATTTTACAGAAGGCAACGTTGAGATAGACTCCCTGGGCTCAATAACCTCAAGGTGCCCTTGAGCTCCACATCAGAATCTCTACAGAGATCACAATGTGATAAGATGGCATCAGAATGGGCCCCTCAAGTGTTTTGGAGTTTCCTAACTTAGGCTCCCAGCACCGCCCTATGCCCCAACTCTGGGGTAATGGTAGTCGACTAAAACAGCTGGGAGAAGTAAGCTCCATTCTTTTGGAGCATGAGGGGTGTGAAAGAGTTAGACCCAAGGGATCTCCCTATGGCTGGGCAGCCAGAGAAGATGCTGGAGGCTCAACGCCTCCTGGCCCTACCCAGCAGGCTTACAGCTTACAGGCCAGAATGAAGGGAGAAAAAGAAGTGGGAAAGGATGGAGACAACCTTGGGGAGATGCAAGGTGGAGCAGAGACAGATGTGGATTGAGAGAGGGGATGTGGAGACTGTAGGAGCACCCACACCCCAGGTAGTTCCTGCCCATGCTGGGGACATGCCCAACAGAGTCGTCCTGAGGACAAGAAATAGTAGGAGTCAGGAAACCACTCTGGAATGAGAGGAGGACAAGGGGATTGGACACGTGGGGAGGAGATGGAGGGAAGGGGTAAAAAATGAAATATGGCTCACTGCCAACTGTACAAGCGTGGCACAAGTGCGCCCTGGTTTCAGTTCCATCACATTAGGAGATCTAGTGCCCTGGGCAGCTAGGAAGATAAATGAGATAATGTGTGGAGTGGCTGGTGCGTGGCAAGTTCAACATATTAGTGTTCCTGACATCAGTATTTGTGGCTAATGTTCATCACCGGTCAATCAATGATTAGTTTTTGTTTGTATGAATATGGTCTCTTGTAGCCTCTAACTAGTTTTGGTTTAACCCATGAGAGACTGCTGTGTGCGGTAGAACCACTTTATTGGTTTGAGCTGCAGTTGGGTTGGCCTCTGACCTCTGACAAGTCATCACAATGATGGCTCCAGGTTGAACCACTGTGAGCTCAGGGGTTTTCATTGGCTGATCTCTTGCTGGTGACATAGATCTCCTGGCTTTTCTTCGTACTCCCATTTAGTCAGGAAGCTCCGCTGCAGGATGGGTCATGGCTGTGTGGGACATTCACTGGGCAGCACTAATCAGACCCAGGTCTCCTGCATTGAAAGCAGGAGTTCTACCGCTAAACCACTGATGCCTCTAGAAGCCCTTCCCACCCACTGTTTGGGTGCATTCTCACTCATGGGACCCCTACTTTGTATTTCCACAGTGGCAAATCTCTTTTTTTTTAAGGAATTTTTTTTTTAAATTTTATTATTTTTTCCTGTGTATACCTTCAAACCAGATCTGACTGGTACAGAAGGAGATTGCCCCTCCTTTTCAAGCACAGAATCTGGTGGATTTGAACCACATACCTCTGGAATTGCAGTGAAGCGTCTTGCCACTAGGCCACCAGAGCTTCCCTACCCTAGCTGCACATCTTTATGGGAAAAGTCTGCCTCCTTGTTCTTCCACAGAGTAGCTGGTAGGTTCAAACCAGTAATCTTTTGGTTAGCAGCCCAGTGCCTAATGTATTATGCCACCAGGTCTCCTTAAAAGCCTTTGGTGGTGGTGGTCTACACCATCAAGTCACAAGCGGCCCATAGCTGACCCTCCAGTGGCTTTTCAGAGGCAGTGAATTACATGACGTGTCCAAAATATGTGAGATCAATTTCTCCTGCAGAGCAGATGGTGGATTCAAACCACTTGCCTTTGAGTTGGTCGTGTAATTCCTTACCACTAGACCACCAGAGCTCTTAAAAGCCTTTAGCACATCTTAAACTTGATGAGTGAACAAAATGAACAGTGCACTGTTGCATGTTTTGAACTGCATTTTAAGGATACCATCCCTAACAAAAACCCAAAAATCAAAATCCTTGCAACTGGGCCAATAGCAATGTGATAAATGGAGAAAAGATTAAAGTTGCCAAGTACTTCATTTCGCTTGGAGCTACAGCCCATGGCCACGGAAGCTGTGGTTTAGAAGTAAAGCAACATATATTGGGAAAGTTCACTGCAAAGGATCTCTGTTAAGTGTTAAAGAGCCAAGATGTCACTTTGAGGACTTAGGTGAGACTGACCCAAGCCACGCTGCTTTCAGTCACCTCATATGAATGCTAAAGCTAGATAGCGAAAAAGAATGATCAGAAAACCACATTTTAATTGTGGTGTTGGAGAAGAATACGGAATACACAATGGACTTCCAGAAGAAAAAACAAATTTGTTTTGGAAGGAATGAAGCCAGAATGTCCCTTAGGAATAAAGACAGCGTGATTTTATCTCACATATTTTGGACACATCATTGGAAGGAGCCAATCCCCAGAGAAGGACATCAGGCTTGGTAAAGCAGGGGGTCAGTGAAAAAGAGGACACTTTTCAATGTGATAGAAAGACACAGTAGCTGCATTGATGGGCTCGTGTATAGCAATGACCATATAATGATACAGGCTGGTGTTTAGTTCTGTTTTACATGAAGTGGTCATGAATCTGAACCAAAATGACAGCACCTGACAACAGTAACAACATCACTCACTATCTGACAAAGACAGCAGTGTCAGTCACATGAGAACCTTTCATCTGGGAATGAGCAGGTTGCTGGCCAGTGTGACACTGGCAGGATCTGATGCCTTTTTAGGTCTCCTTAGATGCCCTTTCTAGCTTACTTCTTACGTAAAGTAGGAGAGTTTGCCCAACCTTTTTGTTTTGTTTTGTTTTAGCTATGATCTACACAGAAAGGCAACGAGATGCTTCTCAGGAATTGCACCATGTGCAGTAGCCAGTCTGACCCAAACTAGAGTGTCTTCGGTTGCCTCATATGTTCAACATCAAGAAAACAAAAGTCCTCACCACCAGGCCAATAGGCAATATCAAGAGAAGAGAAGGGGGACAAATTAAAAAGAAGGAAAAAATAGAAGGGAGAGGAGGGAAGGGAAGAGAGAAGATATTGACGTTAGCAATGATTTCGTTGTGGTTGGATCCACAATCAACATATCATATTGGGAAAATCTACTGTCAGAGACCTCTCCAGAATACTAAAGGGCAATGTGGTCAGCTTAAAGACTAAGATGTGTTTGATTCAAGCCACCGTTTTCTCAATTGCTTGCTAGGTATATGAAAGCTAGACAATGACTACGGATGACAGAAGAATAATCTATGCTTTTGAGTTGTGGTGTTGGAGAAGCATACTGACTATCCCATGGACTGCCAAGAAAACAAAACCAACAGGTCTGTCTTGAAGAAAGTGAAAGCAAAGTGCTCCTTAGAAGCAAGGATAGTGAAGCATCATCTCATATACTTTGGACCTGTTGTTCGGTGGCATAAGTCCTTTGAAAAGGACATCATGCTTGGAAAGGTGGAGGGTCAACAGAAGAGAGGAAGACTCTCAATGAGGTGAATTGACATCGTGACTGTAGCAATGGACTCAAGTATGCTAGAGATGTTGACAATGGCGCAAGATAGGACAGGCTTCAGGTACATTGTTCACAGAGTCGGTATGAGTCACAGTCAGCATATACAACAACATATGCATGTGAAAGTTAGACAAGAAAAAAAGAACCAGTGCCTTTGAATTATCGTGTTAGAGAAGAGTACTGAATATACCACGGACTGTTAAAAGAACAAACCTGTCTTGGAGGAAGGGCAGCCAAGGTGCTTCTTAGAGGCAAGGATGGTGAAGCTTCATCTAGCTTACTCTGAGCATGTTGTCAGGAGACACCACTTCTTAGAAAAAGACTTCATGGTGGAAAAGTAGTGGGTCAATGAAAGAGAGGAAGACCCTCATTGAGGTGGATTGACTGTGGCTGCAGCGATGGACGTGGGCATGGTGGGGATTATGATGGTACGGGATAGGACATGGTTTCCATCTGTTCATACAGTCGCCATGAGTTGGAGTAGACAGAGCCACATAACAACCACCTCACCCTTCCTCGAGTGTCATCCTCCGAGATCTGGCCCACTTCAACCTCTTCCAGCTCATCTGTGAGCCACAGGCAACCTCATCTCTCATCTGTGTTCCAAAGCCCTTGTAGCAGTTAGAGCAAATGTCAACACTCAAAAGAAGCCAGGAAGGTGGCAAAAAGCATTTCTAAGAACTGTACTCCATGGGCTTTCAAGGCCATGACCTTCGGAAGCACATCTCCAGGCCTAGTTTCTGAAGCACCTCTGGGTGGGCTCTAACCACTAACTCTTCCTTCAGTAGTCACATGCCTACTCATTCACACCATTAGTCAGGTCTCCAGACAAAAGGGGAGCCCTGGCAGTGATGTGGAGCTCCGCACTACTAACTAACATGGTAAGGGTTCAAACCTACCAGCTACTTCTCAAGAGAAAGACATGGCCATCGGCTCCTGTACAGATTTCCAGCCTCGGAAACCTACGGTCCACTCTGTCCTACAGGGTCATTTGAGTCCGAAATGGCTCAATGATACTGGGTTTCTGATTTTTTGTTATCGGTCTGTGTTTTGGTTTGCTTTACAGACCCAGTACAGGCACAGCCCAGGCCTCAGAGAATGATGAGAAGAGCCTCTGGAATGATGAATTCTACCTCCAGGGCTTGGGACCACTGATGGACTAGAAGTAAAGAGTTTTGCTGTCAATCCTAAGGCACATGGTTCAAATCCACCAGCTGGAGAAAGATAGACAATCTCCTCCCAAGAGATTTATAGCCTCTGCAAACCTGCTGGAGGGTCAGCGATAGATTGGTTCTGACTCGATGGTACAAAACAGCAGCAGCAGCAGCTTCCAGGGTTTGGAGCAGGGCCCCAGGACCAGGTCATGTGTAGGTGGGGACAAGGAGAAGAAAACTCAGCATCTGCCTTTGACCAGTCCTCTTGTTCCGTCTCCTGTCATTCATTTCAGACACTTCCAGAAGGAAACTTCCCCTCCACCGGAAGACTATGTCTCTGGTCCCCTTTCTCAGGGTCCCTCTCTGGAGCAGGCCTCCCTTCCTAGGTGGCCCAGCTCTGGCCCTGCAGCCCACATTGACCTCAGGGCTGAGCACAGAGAAAACGGTCAATGTGGGTCATCTGATCCTCAAGGCAGGAGCATGCTGGGGACAGGGCCTGGGGATAGGAGGCTGGGGACAGGGGCTGGGGATAGTAAGCTGAGGACAGGGGCTGGGGATAGTAGGCTGAGGACAGGGGCTGGGGACAGGGGCTGGGGACAGGAGGCTGAGGACAGGGGCTGGAGATAGGCTGGGGACAGGGGCTGAGAACAGGGGCTGGGGACAGGATACTGGGGACAGGGACTGGAGGCTGGAGACAGGGGCTAGGGACGGACTGGGGACAGGGGCTGGGAACAGAGGCTGGGGCAAGCCCACTCCAAGGAAAACCAGGCCTGATTATCCGCCAGCTGCCCAGATCAAAGTGCCTGGGAGCCTCGCACCATGCTGGATGCTGGCAGCCTGAATTGTGTCCTGGCTCCTCCCGGTCCCCACACCCACTGCTATGTCACTGAGATTGGACTAGTTATAGGGGATGACAAAAGCTATGGTTAAAGTACACTGCAGCTAGTCGGAAAAGTCAGTGGTTAGAACCCACCAGCTCTGCAGGAGACAGATACGGCCGTTGGCATCTGTAAAGATTTACGGCCTTGGCAACCCTATGGCGCTATTCTACTCTGCTCTACAGGGTCACCACGAGGAGAAATCTACTCCAGTGCCGTGATTGCAGTGGGCTTGCTTGCCTGTTTTAGGTTGTTGTTGTTGTTGTTGTGTGCCAAAGAGTCAGAACCAACCCACAGCTGACTCTCTAGTGGGTCATCAGAGACAGAAAATCACAAAAGAGTACACTCTTCTCTCTCAGAACAACTGGTAGATCCGAACCACATGCTTTTGGGGTTGCAGCGCAGCTTCTTACCACTAGGCAACAGAACCTCCTTGTTTTATAGGGGGGAACATTTAAAACCTGAATATCATAGGCATCAGCCAAATGGAACACATGCCCGCTTGCCAGAATCACAGTCTATTCACTTGGAATGGCTGTCTAGGGCAACTGAGGCCTCAGGTGCCAAAGGTCAACCTCCCTTAGTTAAAAAGACCCTAGAAGAGACACCAAGGGGCTTCTTTGATCCTAACTGTTTGGCACACATCAGGTTCCCACAAGAACACTGCTAGCAGAGCAAGACCCTTCGTGGTTTCTCCAAGAATTGCAGCTGAGAGCAGTCTAGGAAGAAGAGGGGAGGGCTGGAGGCTGCCAGCCTGCTGAGCTGGGCCTCCCTGACACTGTCCAGCCTCATTAAACCTGCCTGGCCAGCACTGTCACCCAGGCTGACAGACTGCCACCAGCATGCCTCCCCTGAGGCCCAGAGCCTGCCTGCCCCCACCCCACAGCACACCCTGCCACTGGTACACACTGAGGGGACATGGGGTTGGCAGGCAGGTCCTACAGCCACATACAGTGGGACTTGCTAGAACCAGTGAGATACTTGGGGGTTGTGCTGGGTCTGGACTGGAAGAAGGTGGGGTGCTGGAGCTTGTCCAGCTGAGCCAGCTCCCAGTGTAGGGTACTTGTGAGGGTCCAGCCATAGTCAACCTTTTAGCAGAAGCAAAAGAGAGCGTGCAGTGCCTCCCAGTGGCCCCCTTGACCCCACCTGCCAGTAGCTCTCCCAGAGCAGTGACAGGCTCTGCCCCGAAGGCTGTATTCCAGTGTGGACCTGATGCCTCATGGCACCTTGGGGCTCGGAGCTGGGATGTCTGAGAGGTGAGGTCTGGCAGGGGTTTGGGTGCAGTGGGAGAAGACAAAGAGTTAACAGTGACCGTTTACTGAGCTTCATGTTTGTGAGCCCAGCATCACTTTGGATACTTGTTTACATTGCCTCTGTCTCTTTTACGCTTCATCATAACTGCACACCAGCTACTATGAGGAAACCCGATTCTCCAGAAGGAATTTGCAAGCTTGGTGGTGAAAATGGTTAACACACTTAGTTGCTGGCAGAAAGACTGGTAAGTTCAAGTTTACCCAGAAGCCTCAGAAGAAAGTCTTGGAGGTTACCTCCAAAATCAGCCACTGAAAACCCAAGGGGGACACAGTTCTCCTGGGGTTGTCACGAGTTGAAGTCAACTTGACCGAATCACCACATAGATGCAAAGACTTTGGGTCAGAGATGTCAAATAATCCATCCAAGGCCACCCAGAGAGCAAGGTTCAAGGCCGTGTCTGCGAGGTTCCAGGGCTCATGACCGCCTCTGTGCCGCCAGCTTGTCTGTGTGCATGTTCTGGAAGATGTCCTGATCGAGGGTGTCACCTGTCTGCTCAAAGCCTCCTCTTCACTGTCTTCCCACAAAGGGCCCACTCTGCCCGTGGCTGATAGCCCGTCATGTCAGATCAGACGCAAGGAGAGAGCCTGCAGGTTTGGCGTGGGGGTGGGAGGCAGGCCAGGCAGACTGAGTGAGTCTGTTTCTGCGTGTCTCTGCTCCATTTCCTACATCCTACTCTGCCCGTGGCTGCCACATTCCCAGAGGACCATGACTTCACTGTGGACTTTCTCCACCACACATGTTCTCAGACCATGGATGGCCATCTCCATGGCGAGGATAAGATAATGGGGATTATGATCACAACAGCAATGAAAGAAAAGGCTCCCAGAACGTCCATCAACAGCAAGCATGTAGTACAAGCTTAATAAATCACTGCTGAGTCGTGACACAAACACTTACCTAGCGGCTCTGTTGCAGTAGAGGCAGGGCTCAGAGAATCAGTCGGATCCAGTGGGCTGGGCCTTGAGAACTTCTTCTCCGAGGGGGATGGGGACGGTGACAGAGTGGCACCAAAGAACCCTGTAAAGGGAGCATATGAGACTCTATTGCTGTCCTCCTGGTCAGCTGGACCTCTGGGACTTTGGTGACTATCCTGTCCTTCCCAGAGCTGATCCTAAAGAAGCCACTCTCCCAGAAGCAGCATCCACATGCACACCATGAGCCAAGCCAGCAAAGAGCAAAGCAGACTGAGCATGGCAGAGGTGACCATTCTCACTAAGCAGTGACCCGAGTGCCAGGGCCTGGAACGGTAGCCAGGGCTCCAGTGAGTCAAGGGAGGCAGGCCCTAGCATGCAGTAGTTGTTGGCTGCTGGTGAGCTGGAGGACCCATGGACAACAGGATCCGACAATTAGGATCCATGAAGTTCTCATTGGTTGGTTTCTGGAAGTAGATCACCAGGCCTTTCTTCCTCATGTTTTAGTCTGGAAGCTCTGGGAAATCTGTCCAGCATCACTGCGCCCTGCAAGGCTCCACTGACAGAGGTGGTGGCGGTGCATGGAGGTGCGCTGGTTCCAAATCACACCCAGGTCCCCGCAAGGGAAGGCCAGAATCCTACCACCAAGCCACTGTCCTTGGTATACATGGCCCAAACCAAACCCCTTATTCTTCAAGGTTCTGAGGCTGTAAATCTTAATGGCAAGAGACTGCCCATCTTTTCCTCAAGGAGCAGCTAATGGATTTGAACTGTTGACCTATCAGCAGTGCAACACGTGATGCACTATGCCACCAGAGCTCCTTTGGGGTGCAGAGATCCTCTGTAAATATCTGCAGAAATGAACACTCACCTGGTGATTCTGAAACTCCTGGGGCAGAGCTTGGGGGTGTAGTTGCACCTTGGGTGATGAGGCCTGAGATGTTCCGGAGCGGTGACAGAGTAGTGCCAAAAAAACCTGCAAAGGAGCCTTACTGAAGCTGTGTCTGCTGCCAGGTCACCCCACAGAAGCTCCCCAGCGAAGGCGCATTACTCACCAAAGGGCCCCAGGCGTCCAGCAATCTCTGCCAAGCTGGCCCGCAGGCTGGGCAGCAGGGGCAGTGTCCGGTGCCCAAGTGTGGGAGCGGCACCTGCCCTCAGTGCCATGTCCAGCTTCAGCTCCAGCTCGCTCTGGTGAGGCCTATGGCCACTGAGTGGTGGCGCTGTTGCTGTCAGCGCAGTACCCCAGGTCACAGTGCCCGATCCGGGCTGAGAGGAAGTCATGGGCCCAGAGAGGGGGGATGTGGATACCAGGGGCTGAGAGGAGGCCCAGGGCACTGAACTGCCTTCAGCAGAGCCCCACTCTGGGGGGGAGTTCCCGAGGGACCCTACCAGCAGTTCCCAAAGAGGGTCGGTCCTCAGCCCACTGGCCGCCTCTTCCTCCAGCTCTCGGCCCAGCCCAGGGGGCAGTCGCTGTGTCTCAGTGACAGAGCTCCCCCAGGCAGCAGCTGGTCCCCGAAGGTGGAATTTGAAGTTAAGTCCCAGATTGAGTGACAGCATTGAGGCCTCACTCTGAGGGCCCAAAGTAGAGAGAGGGCCACCCGGAACTGGTGAGGCAAGCTGGGGGCCCACAGGGACAGCCAGCAGGACCCAGCAGAAGAGCCCAAGCTCCAGACAGCCACAGCCTGCCATGGCCCCAGCTCGGGCAGGAGCCCTCCCCGCCTGGTGGGCGGGGGCTCAGGTCTTCAGCACTTTTGTTCAGGCAGGTCCTGGAGAGAAGAGAGGCCCCATGAGCTGACTGCTGTCCCTGTTGCTTTCCAGGACTTCCACCGAGGGCTGGAAATTGGAAAGGGCAGGATGCAAAGGCCCCCCAAAGAGAGAGTCAGAACCCAGCACAGATCTCCCCCGAATAGCTCTCTGCCTGGTCTCCCTAAAGTCAGCCCCCTCCTGCTCAGCTTGGGGGCGGGGAGGTCACAGCACCCAGCTCCATTCAACACTCATCACCTGGACCCCCTGCCTCTCTTCCTCCCGTGTTTCCTTAGGAGACAGGCTGTGTGCTCTGTACCCTGTGTCAGCTGTAACTGTGGATAGGGAAACTCTCCCTGATGGGGCCTCTATCTGAGTCCTGGCCCTCGGGCACGCTGGCCCAGAGTGGCCCTGGCCTTGGTGGGAACGTAGGACAGGACTAGGGACTGTTGAGCTGGGAGAGAGCCCAGGCTCTGAGCAGAGAAGCCAGTACCCAGTGCCCTAGGCAGACACTGCTCCGTCCCTTGAGCCCCTCCCCTCCCCAGGCCCTAGTAGTATCTGAGAAGGGGCTGCTTGGAGTGATGAGGCTTCCTGGGGGAGAAGGCCAGGCAAGCAGCCAGCAGGGGCTGCGCGAGAGTCGTCACAGCCCCCGGCACCCCCCACGCACACACATCTGGTGGGGGGAGGGGACAGTGAGCCAGGGACACACGTGCACCCAGCACTGACATCACACAAACGCAGCCACACCTAGCACCCATGACACTCCCCCACTCCCCCTTTGCAGACCCCTGGACACACACATGCTCACACACGCACATTCTGTCCTCCCTCCTACAAGGGTTCAGACCCAAGCCCACGAGGTCCCAGCGCTCTGTCTCTCTCACACGCAGACATGCACGCGCGCGCGCACACACACCCCCCTCACAAGCACATAGAGGAGCGTGAACACACAGGCACACACCCCCTGCACACACTCACACTCTATGTTGACACACATCACCCGCTGTCATCCCCACATGCACGCCCCGACATGCTCCCCATCCCTCTCCTGCACACACACACACACACACACACACACACACGCCCCCCGCCCCCCCACCCGGCCCGGGCTGCGCCGACCTGCTCCACTCGTGCCCTCCCGCAGGCTCCTCGGCCTTGTCCCCTGAGGAAAGGTGGCCGCGGTGGCCCTGGCGGCCCTCTGGGCAGCGCTTCGCCGAGTCCCTGTGGTCTCGCGTGGCCCGGCTGCAGATCGCGGCCCCACGCCCCTCGGCTCGCCCGGCTGCCCGGCCGGCCCGGCTCGGCCCCGC